GTTCCTCTGTCCATCCATTCATCTCTGCCAGTAGCTCAAATTGTGCTCTATATGCTTCCCACGGTGCCTTCCCATCGAATTCCTGTGGCTTCCTTCGCACTGGATCACTCGTATTACTGACATTCATATCTGGGATGTGACTTCTAACGGGACTGAATATGTCTGCATTAGGGTTTAGCTGCGGGCTCTGTAAGGGGCTTGCCAGTTTCTGGGGCTGATTAAGTCGATGGTCAATGTATCCTCCTTGTGTAACAGACAATAAATCGTTCTTTAACGTATCTAATTCGCTTTTAAATTTACTAATGTTTTCCATTTGTACATCTTGCCACTGTAGTTGCTGCTGACTTTCTTCCTGTTTCCTTTCTTGTTCCAGTTGCCACTGCTGTAATTTTTCTTCTTGTTTCGTTTCTTTTTCTTCCAACAACTGCTGTAATCTCTCTTCTTGTTTCTTTTCTTTTCCTCCAACAACTGCTGTAATTTCTCTTCTTGTTTCTTTTCTTTTTCCTTCAACCACTGCTGTAATTTCTCTTCTCGTTCTTCTTGTTTATTTTCTCGTTCTTCTTGTTCCTTTTGCTGCTCTTGTATTGCTGCCATCAAGTCTGCTAAGCTGTAGTTTGATTTTCTGCCTCTCGTTTCCATTTTTTTTTGTCCCACTCACTGACACCAATTTGTTACGTCTCCGTTCGTTAGTTAATTTTCTGTAAAAATTCTTTCTGAAGAAACTTTACCGATACAAGTCCTTTCTTAAATAAAACTGGTTTATTCTTTCTGAATACAACTTTATGATACACTTAATTTCAACAGTCGCGCTATAACAAACGCTATAATTCACAACGAACTTTACATGTGCTCAACAATATTCTGTCAACATACATTCAATTACTCATTACATTACGTTGCTTCTTGGCCGGTCTTATATATACAAGACTACACTATATATAGAAGGATCCCGAGATTTAAGGAAGGGACGTAAATGTTCGAGAAAGACGTGGCGTGATACTAGTCACGTGACCTCTGCTGACACAACAATATCTTTTGGCTGGGTGACGCAGCAGTTGTTGAATTTTTGCTTGCATTCTGTATTTATGTGATACTTCAGTTGTTGACATAGTAAAAATGATTTATGTAATTTTTCTGTGTTGCAACATATTTCATTGACAGAGCAAGAGATATAACAAAGGGGCTAGCAGAAATGCAGTTTTTGTTGTGCATGTAGTGGCTAATGATATAAGGAAAGGTAGGTCAGAGGAGCTAATTAATAAGTGCAAGGGGCTGATAAAGAAAAAGGCCATAACTTGATTTTTGTTAGGGATACTGCCCAGAATTAATTGTGGGGATGAAGTTATAAGTAGGTCACTAGGGCTAAATGCTAGGCTTAGGTTAATATGTAAGGATGAGCAGATTGGCTGGTTGGACTTGTGGGATCAGTTCAATGGGAGTTTTTTGGAATGGATGGTTTAATTTTGATAGAATAGGGGCTGACTTGTTTGCAAGAGCTATTAACTCAGTTGTAAGGGAAGTTTTAAACTAGGACTAAACAATGGTGAGGGCCAGGATAAACTAAATGCAAAAAGAATAAGAGGTAGAGAAAAGTGTAGCATAGGAAATGAGTATAGAAGTAGTTAGAAGAGTAGGCTTAATTGTTACTTTTATAATGTTAGAAGTATAAGAAATAAAATAGATGACTTTAGAGCACTGGTAGGAATGGAGGATTTTGATATAATGGGAGTAACTGAAAATTGGTTAAATGTAGATGATTTTGAGGACAGAAATTTCTTTGAAATACAGAGTTAAAAGTCATGTAATAGGGATAGAGTACTAAAGAGAAGGAGAGGAGTGGCTTTATAGGTAAAATGTGTTACATCCTGTTGAAGTTGAGGATATTAAAGATAATAGGAAGGAGATTAAATCCATTTTGGTTTTATTAGTGGATATAAAGGAAAAAGACTTTTAGTGGGAATTTGTTACAGACCATCAGATGCTACTGATGAAATTAGTGAGAAACTTTACAATGAGATTAAGATTTCAGCTGTTAATGAAGTCATAATTATGGGTGATTTTAATTTTAGACATATAGATTGGGAAATGCTCGAGTCAAACCATGACAGAGAAAGGTTTTTGGAAACTGTTCAGGATGGCTTTCTTCACCAATTGATCAAGGAACCTTCTCGAAACAAAGCTATTTTAGATTTATTGCTAACATCAAATATAGAAATGATTGAGAGGGTGGAAATTGGGGAACATCTGGGTGCAAGTGATCATTACTCTATTAGGTTTGATGTTTTGATGCATATGGAGATAAAGAATAATGATATTTTGGTTACAAATTTAAAAAAAAACAACAGATTTTGAAGGTATGCAATAAGAATTATCTTTTGTCAGTTGGGCAACTGAGTTATTTAGTGACACTGAACAGATATGGAAATTTTTAAAGATAAATTTTTATATATTCAAGGTAAACATATTCCTTATACAAAGAAAAGGGTAACTGCAAATAAAATACCAGGTTGGCTCAAAAAGAGTATAAGAGATGAAATTAAAGAAAAGCATCATAAGTTTAAAAAATTTAAATTGACTGGTATGGAGATGTAAAAGATTATAGAAGATTAAGAAAGTTGGTGAAACAGGAAGTTAGGACATCAAAAATGATGTATGAGAAAAAGTTGTCTGAAAAGGTAAAAAGGATTTCTTTAAATACATTAAGGGTGAACAAAATGTTAGGATGGGGGTAGGAACCTTGAGGGATAATAAAGGAAGGCTCATATCTGATGATTATGAGATGGCTAGGTTATTAAGTTCTTCTTTTTTCTTCAGGTTTTACTGAAGAAGATTTAAGCAGTATTCCTCATCTTGAACAGTTAATAGACGGAAAGAAGATCGAACAAGATTACTGCATTAATTTTGAGCTTGTTAAGAAAATTTTGGAAGTTTAAAGAATGATAAGGCTCCTTGGCCAAATATTATTTCCCAAGGGTTTTGAAGGAGGTTAAGGATTGGATATGTGAGCCACTTGCTACTATTTTTTGTAAGTCCTTGAATATTGGGCAGGTACCAGAGGATTGGAAGTTAGCTAATGTCACTCCTCTTTTCAAGAGAGGTGAAAATAATTGTTCCGGTGATTATAGACCCATTAATCTTACATCAGTTGTTGGAAAAGTTTTGGAAATCTGATAAAAGATTCTTTGCAAAGCCATTGAACATAGTTTAGAATTTTATTGGATAGTCAACATGGTTTTAGTAAGGGGAAATCTTACCTTACAAATCTTTTGACATTCTTTGAAAAGGTTACTGCTTATATAGGTGAAGGTAAGGGTGTAGATTTGGTGTATCTGCATTTTCAAAAAAGCATTTGATAAGGTGCCACATAAAAGGCTTGTAAATCATATCTCTGTAGGTATGAGGGATAAGTTAGCAAATTGGATAGAGGAGTGGCTGGATGGAAGAAAGCAGAGGGTTGTTACAAATAGAGCTTAGTCAAATTGGATTAATGTTACA